TTTGCTTGAGGTTTGATGCCTTTCAGGCAGGTTTAAGGCCTTTGGTGATTTCATCTGGTTTGTGGGCATCTGCTGGTATGGCTTGTGGTGAGGTTTTTGACAATTGTTACAGGTCATGTCTTTGTGGAAAGGGATAAGGCTTATGCAGGTCTTGTAATTTTTGGGTTGTTGTTTATGCAGGGGATAAAGGCTTTAGCAGGTTCTGATACTTGACAGTGGTTTAAGGCTTTTTTGGATTTGCTCTCTTTTTCTCTTACTGTACTGTGTTTAGTTCTTTATATTTTCTTCCTTCCTGTCTAAAGCCTAAAACCTACTTTCTTTTTCTCTTCTTCTTCTCTCTCTAGTACAGCTTTGCATTAAGATATTATTTATGCTTTGTACTTCTTTTTTTCTGAAAGGGCCACTTCTTTTGGGAAATGATGAAAAGAAAATGTGTTTTGCTTGCATAACAATTTTTCTCTGCATTCCTGTCTCTTCTTTTGACAGCTTTTGTACTTTTGGATCTTTTGATATCTTCCCAAATCTTCTTTTCTTTGACAGCTTGGGTAGCCTTTTGGCATTTTGACAGCAAGTTTGAATTTTTCAGTTTGGACTTCTAGTTTGATTTGCACTTGGAGTTTTGAGACTTGAACTTATGCAGTTTGGACAATTTTTGAATTGTGCAATTTTGACTTTTGGTGCATTCATTTTTAGCAAATAAACATTCGTCCCTCTTTGTGAATCGGGAGAAATCCCGTGATTTGCAGAGAGGGTTAACTGATCCCAATCAGTGGCCCTTAATGATGAATTTTCTTTTTTTTATCTGTCATTATTTATTTATCTGCTATTTGACTTTTCTTTTTTCCTTTTGCAGATGAATAATTGAATGGAGGGGAGCAAAGGATAGCAGATGAAGAATTGAAGAATAGAAAATGTTTAGGATAGTTTTCTTTTTATTTAAATTTAAATTAATGTAAAATCATTGCTTGTAATTAAATTATAAACAATAATTGTACGAATAATTTAAAAATAAATAAAGGTTTTTATTATCCAATTAATTCTATTTCCTTTATTGTTTATTTATTATTTAAAATTCTTTGAATTAAAATAATTGAAAAATAAATTCCAATCACTTAATCTCAGAATAATAAATAATTTAAATGAACAATGCTTTAGAAATTTGAGCAGTTAAACCGGGCATTTCCAATATCCAAAGCAAAGCAACAGTTAATCAAAACAACTGATCAGGCGCATTCCCTTTTCATTGATTTTTACCCAACACTGCAAATCCAAACTGAACGTATCCTTTGACTGGTTCAAACAAACAAACGTGAGTTCAAACCAAATGCCCTCTTTTACTGATCAAGTCAAATAATGCGAATTCAAACCCAAATCTCAGAATAACTTGCAAAGCATCTTTCTGAGGAACCGCGCATGAAAACCCTAATTCCTGATTAAATACCAAAGAACGTTCACTTGATCAAAGTTGAGCTCAAAACACTAAACCAACTGTTTGAAACATTCCAGAGCCATAAAAATCAGTAAAACCCTAATTGCGTCTGACTGACGAGAAAAAGTCTGTTTGACCGATTCTTGAGCCAATCTGAAAAACCAGGAAACGCCTGAAGCTGTGATTTTTTTGTGGAAAAATGCGAGGGCAAATTTTGGGGTACAACACTCACAATAAATCATAAATAATCAATTAAATAATTAAATCTAGATTTTTAGGGTGTTACATTGGTCATGTGGTGTAGGTGAGGGAGAGGTATCTAAGTGATTCAGATAGGAGGAGAGTAGAATGGTTGTGAGGTTAGTGATATATGGTGATGGTTAGGTATAGATGACTGTCTGGGAAGGTCATCTGGTGGAGAATCTAAAGATGTATGGATCCACTGATGTATAAGAGAGGTGTGTATATCATCAGTGAAATAGTTGTATGTAGAGGCAGGTGAGGAGGATATGCGGGCAAAGAAAATTTGAGTCTCATCAAAGATGATATTTCAAGAGATGATGATTTTTATATCCGAAAAATCAAGACATTTATAACCTCTATGATTAAGGGGATACCCTAAGAAAACACTCGGAGTCGAGCGAGGTTGTAATTTGTTGATGGTAGTGGAGGGAAATAATGGATAACCAAAGACACGAAGATGTGCAAGAGGATTCACAATGATATAGAAGTTAGGTAGTAGAGAGATTAGACATTTTAAGCGCATGATGCCAAAATGGGGGAGGAACGAATACATGAGCGAGAAAAGTGTGAATCATGTTGTTAATAAGGAATAATTTGTGTTCTTCCTTTCCATTTTGTGATTAAGTGTGAGGGAAAAAGAAGCGAAAAATGAGACCATTAGCGCACAATAATTATGAAAAGATGTATTTTCATATTCTCGCCCATTATCATATTGAAAACATTTGGCAGTTTGAAAAAATTGTGTGAAAATTTGATTTGAGAGAGAAGTGAACATTTCAAAAACTTGAGATTTATTGGTTAAAGGAAATGTCCGTAGAAAATTAGATAAATCATCAAAAAATAAAACGTAATAGCGATGACCAACTGAACTCAAAATTGGTGATGTCCATAAATCATTCTGTAAAATATCAAAGGGCATCGCAATAACATTATTAGAGGAAACAAAAGGCAACCTGACATGTTTTCCAAACACACAAGAAGCACAAATTGTCATATAATTCAAAGGTTTATAACTAATGAACTTATTTCTATGAAGAGACTGTAAAGCTGAAAAACTGGGATGTCTGAGACGATTGTGCCAAATACTATAAGAAAGACTAGCAAACGAGTAGGAAGTGGTAACTGGATAGAGACCGTCAAGGCACAATGCACAAGGCATTTCTGAATTACTTCAGCTCAAAATTGTCTTAGAAGATTTGAAAATCAAATGGGTAAGACCTATGAAACTCTACTATGATAATAAGTCAGCTATCAATATAACACATAATCTAGTTCTACATGATCAAACTAAGCATATTGAGGTTGATAAACACTTCATTAAAGAAAAGCTTGATAGTGGATTGTAGCCATGGCAAAAAAAAATCAGAACTCGGTTGCCCCCGCCCTGAATCTAATAGAGAAAAACTGATTTAAGTGAGTGTGGAAGCGGAGTCGGAGAAAATCTGAGTTTTAAGTACAAGGGCGAGGGCGAGGGACATGGATGCTAATATACCCACCTCACCTACGGATGGCAAAAAAACTTGTACTCGCGGGTAAAACCCGTCACGAGTACGGGTAGAATGGCTTAATGGGTATTCACGGGTAAAATAAATGGATATTTAGTTATATGTTTACTTACGGATACAGATACGAATTTGATGGTACACGTACCCGCGGGTATCCGTATCCGTTAATAATTAGCAAAGTTACTTAAATATTAATTTTTAATCTAAAATTATTATTATTATTATTATTATTATTATTATTATTATTATTATTATTATTTTGTTGAATATGAAACTATAATTATTTTGTTGAATGTAATATAATTATTTGAAAATAGAAGAAATAAAATGAGTGTGATTTATTTTTATTATTATTATGTGTTAAATTTGAAACTATTATTCTGTTGTATTATATTTATTAAATGGGACGGGTAGAAGGAAACTAGTGCCCGTAACCATAGATATCCATTGTCTTCTCTAACCTCATCTCACCCTCGTCTATTAAATTTACTTGATTACTCTTATTTTTAATACATTTATTACCCATTTTTATCCTTCTTAATCTTAAAATAGAAAATTTATTATAATTAATATTTATTTTGTTTGAAACTATCAATTAAATAAAATGATAAGTATTATGATTATTATTAAAATGATTAAGTATTTAGTTTAATTATTAATTTTTGTTGTTTATGAAAAATATGTATTTTATTAAAAAAAAAATTACAATTTTTGCGAGTAGGTATGGAGTAGCAAAACCCATTCCCCGTTGGGGGCGAAGTGGGTGGTCAATTGTTATTCACGATTGGGTTTGGGGGAGGGGCTGGTTCAGAGAGAAGGGGGCGGGAGTAATAATGCTTAAATCCAACCTCAGTTCATTGCTATGTCTAATGGACTGATTTGCACCCCATTTATTTCTCACAAGGGCAACTTACAGATATTTTCATTAAAGGGTTGAAAGTTCAAATTTTAAACGAATTATATCCAAACTGAAAATGAAAAATACTTGTTCAACAACTTGAGAGAACAACTTGAGAGAGAGAGAAAGAGTGTTGGAAATAGTTAATTCCTTGTATATTCTATTGAAAAGTTTAAATTCATGTATGTTTAGATTCATGCATTTAAAAAATTGAACTAGTATTTATTTCTTCTTGTAAATATACAATATAACATGTAATTAATTATATAGTATGTATAAATATTTTAGTTGTTGAGTGATTTAGTCACTCAAACATGCGTTAAAAAAAATTTCTTACTCTTATTTTTACATAATCAATTCTACACAAATAGGAAACAAAATATATACTTAAACTTAGAGGCCTATTCATATAGCTTGCAATGAAATTTCCCACTGCAAACATTTGCCTCCCTCCTATCTAGATGTGACAAAATTATTGAAATGAACCAATAACCAATATACTGGATCTGAATGTGAGTTTGGATATATGCTACCATCCTTCCTTTTATGGAAGGAACCAAAATAGGCCAAACCCTGAAATTAATCCAAATTCACATAGCTAACTGGAGTCATATAATTAATTTGCACAATATTAAATAATTATAGCTGCATTGTCACATAACATATAACATAAATATGTAACACTGACACCTCCAAATAAATGTTTGTCTGGTATCCGACACATTTCAGTGTCTGACACTAACATATGTGATTAAAATCAATTCATTATTTTGTAAAAATTATTATCAGTGTCAATGTGTCAGTGTCAATGTGAAATATCCATATCCATGTCACGAATGAGAGTAATATAAACATACCTATTAGGCGCATGTGGTGCATGTAACTGAATTAGTCACAGATTTAAGAGTGCTATTGTGAATTTCATTTAGGTCTGTAGAAAAAATGAGATAACAATTTTAGATATATGAATTTAAAATTCAGAATTTATATAGTTAACAATGGTATAAGTTTTGATAATTATAAATATTTTACTTACCACTGGGAAATCTTTGTACAAAGAAGCAAGCACCAATAACAAAGTAGCAAAGTAGGAGAATAACACCTTTCATGTAGTGAGAAGTACCATCCTGCAAATAAGATATATGTTATGGTCAATACTGTATAACATTCCACTAAGAGATTATGAAAAGAATTTAAAAAAACTAAAATTTGGTGTTTTGTTTAATTGGATGTGAAATTTACATACCTGTAAAGTGAAGCTTGTGACTATAATTGCCACAGCAAGAGAACCTGTCTCAATGAGGTTGAAGTTTAGGTCCATATTCACTCCCATTCCCCAAGCAACAGTAACACAGAGGGGAACCTGAATTTTAATATTATATATGTTTCATTATAATTCAAATAAAGACAACTATCCGAATATGTTTTAAATTGTAGTCGCAATATAAAGGACTGTGAGGATTCTGCAACGGTATCTCAGCTGCACTTCTCATAATATAAAGAGACATGCAGCGTAATCGCAAATGCAATTTAAAATCAAATTATCCATAAAGGTAAGAGTATATTTATTTACCACAAACATGGCAATTTGAGTGGCAGAGCCCAATGCAACACCTAAGGAAATGTCCTGCAGTCATGAAATTAGTTCAGCTTCACTTGAATATTGTCTTTTCCTTTCAATTCATCAACTTTATAGCTTGGAAAATATGAATTTAATCATATGTTAAATGAAAGGATTAAGTATGGAATTGAGTAACACTATAATATAAATTCTTACAAGCTTGTTCTTGAAAGCAAAAATGATTGCTCCAGCATGTTCAGCTGCATTGCCAACTATTGGAAGCAAGATTATGCTGAGGAAGCTCACTGATAAACCCCATGAATCTGATGCATCCTGTTAACAATAGTTTATGACACGCCTATAAGTTGTTTTAAGCTTATTTTAGTAAAAACTCTCTATAAGCTTAGCAAAACGGTTTATGACTAATATAAAAACAGTTTAAACACATTTCATATTTGATTATAGAACCATGTTTGGTAAACAGTTTAACTACACATTTAAAGCATAAATGCTTATCATATAAGTGTTTATGTATAAGTTACTTCTACAACAAAAGATAAAATAGCCAAAAAAAATTCGTATAAGCTATAAACTGTTTTTATAAAAGCTATCATGAAGAGCTTAGAAAAATAAGCTGAAAACAGCATGTGGACATATTGTAAGCTCTACCAAACAGCCTTACAATAAGTCAATCCAAACCTGCTCCTGACTTATGCATAACTGATTATGTGATACGCTCATTAAATAAGTGCTTAATTGAGCTGTTTATTCAAAAGAATTCCAAATTAGATCTAAGCAATTAAATTGAAATACCTCAATTGTATCGACCACGTATTCAGACAACAACGCAGTGAACACAGTCATTCCAGCCAACCAAGCAAATCCACTCCAAAATCCAATCACAGCCTCTTCTGCCTCAATGTTCTCATCTCCGCCTTCCTGCTCAATTCCTTTTAATAAACTATAATTGCAACAATCAACAATTCAACATTTTCATATATGGTTCAGTTAAGAAAACATACATCTTCAGCTTCAAATAGTTGCCTATGTGTCCATAGTTGAAAGATCAAGTAAACAAAATATGCAGCCAACATGACAATGCTAGCAGCTCTTGACAAGTAGAGTGAAGATTCTACGGTGAGTTCCGGTGATGCAGCACTGTATGTGAATAGCATTGGAAGCAAAAGGCATAGCAATGCCAGTATCAGCATCAGTGAGTTCACATCTGCTTGCCTCTGCAAAATTCAATACTTAACATTAGCATTAACTGAAGTTCGACTAGAAGATAAGTAAAGTCAAATTCAAAATTGTTCTAACGAAAATTCGAATTCAGTTTATCACAAGCGATTCGTCATTAACTGAGGCTCATTAAGGGGTGTCACTCTATATAAAGTTTTTGCAAGCTCTATCTCCAACCAACGTGGGACTTGCAATTTTCTCAATACACCCCCTCACGTGCATAACTATTGGGCTTGGCTGTGAATATTAACGGTGGGTGACCTATGGTCCGATCGATAAACTCTGATACCATATTAAAATTAGAGTTTAATCTAATTCATTCCTACAAAATCAACATGTACAGTAAGGGGTATCACTTTATATATAAAATATTTCCAAACTTTATCTCCGACCAATGTGAGACTTGAGAACAAACAATTTGTTAAAAACAATGAATTAAAACAAGTAAAGCGTAAAACGGATTCTCAAGGACTTACTCTGTCATATTTCTGCTCCACCCTAAGATTTGCAATGCCACCACAAAGAAGAGAAGTTCCAAGAACAAGAAGAAGATTTGAAAGAATGGAACCCAAAAGAGAATACTTGACAACAGCAATTTTGTTGCTGCTAAGAGCAAATATTGCAATTATGAGTTCAGTAGCATTCCCACATGTTGCATTAAGAAGTCCTCCAACTGCATCATTACACATTATATAATTAGTTCCAACAAACACACCCTAATCAATTAAATTCAAAATTGAACACTAATTAACTAATACTGATGAACAATTTTATATTATGAAGTACTGACATCTCTGAGAGTAGATGTGTCACGGTATCTGACACGTGTCGGTGTCCGACACTCATACAACACTCATACAACATGTGTCGGAAAAGTCAATCAAATGTCTCATCAAAAAAAAAAATTTCTTTGTTTCACACTCTTTGAATCGATGTCCGACGTTCGTATGACACTCACACAACACATGTCGAACAACTCAGACAAGTGTTCTAAAAAAAATTATTTTTTTCTTTACTTCAACACACCTTATACATTTCTTTTTACATATCTCTTTATACATCTAAAAAGGTTAACATGTATTAAAGCAATGCAGAATTAAGAACATCAATTTTGATTATAATATTTTTAACTTTTTAAATAATAAATAGATAAATAAATGTTAAATACTATCGTATTATCATATATGCAGTTGTGTCGGTGTCATATGTTTTTTACCTAATAGATGTTCCTTGTATAGTGTTTGTGTCGTGTTCCGGTGTTGTGTCAGAGTTTGTGTTTCATAGTTTATATACCTGTAGGACCGGTGAAGAAAGCAATTTGTCTGCAATATTTGAAGTAACATTCACCAAAACATACATGAATCAGCAATCAATCGACAAACAAATAATAAACCAAAAAAACATTGAATTTGTATACAAAGAATAATTCAAATACAAATTGATTAGATTCCTTACTCTGTAAGAAAGCTCACACGTTCAGCAAGTGGAGTAAGGCCAAGTAAGCTCAATATAAAAACCCATGACTGTTCACAACAATTCAAAAAAGCTAGTTATAATATCATCTCTATAATACCAACACCTCTGTGTGCATGTTAGCGTCGGTGTCTGTGTCAGAAACAATACTTCTAATTCCTTATAATTTTATTATTTTTTCAAATTATTATCGATATGTGATGTTTCCGGTGGCCGATGAAACCAATAGACAAAAAAAAAAGTTATAAATTATTAAGAGGAATGAATGAACTGACTCTTCCTAAGGCAAGGTCATGAGCTAGGATTGCAGCAGGAACGGCAATGAAGAGGATGGAAAGCTTTGTACCAAGAATAACCTCTTGGATGTTAGCCAACACAATCCTAAGGGAATCCCATGGAATATTGGAGACGAGAGTAAATTTGGATTTCTTTCGCATTGAAGCTGAAGAAATGTTGTGCGCTCTTCGGCTACGGCCATGTCCGTGTCTTGATTCCTTGGTCAAGATCTTTGGATTACCGTTCTCTAAAAGCCATGATCGTTCTTCTTGTGTTTGCCCTGAAGCCATTTTCGTTGCAAAAGAGGACAAAATCACCTATTTTCTATATATATATACATATATATACACACCCTTTTTTTATCTTGGATTCTCTCCTTCCATTTTTCTCTATGTTCCTATATCTCTCTTAATTCATTCTCGTTAAAGCAAAAATAATTTTATTAAAGAGGAAGAAAAAGTGAGATTAAATGAGAAATAAAGATAAAAGAAAGACAAGGAAAAAAAATAAGAGAATTTTTTTTTTTATTTCATAGAAGCAAAAACGGAATTTTTTTTGCAATAACTAGATATTAAAAAAAAATTTCGCAAATAACCACGTTTCAGAAAAAATTACGCAAATAACCATATTTCAGATGACTCCCCAAAGGAGGAGTCATCTCACTTGGCGCCTCCACCAGCTTTTTTGCCCTAGGCGCCATCTCACTTGGCGCCTCCTCTCTCTTTTAGCCAAGTGAGATGGCACATGCTCTTTAAAAGTGAGAGGAGGTGTCATCTCACTTGCCTCTTGGGGCAAAATGTTTTTATAAATAATTCGTCCGTTTCTCCGTCATTTCTCACATTTTCTCGCATTGTTTTCTTATTTTTTACTCTGTTATTTACGTCATGACATCGCCCATGATTTTTACCAGAGATGGCTACGTTATCTTTTCCGCCACGAAACCTGCGATGAAAATGAAATTCTGGCACATTCACTCCATGGAGCGTCTGAAGCGGGAGTTGATGCGATGGCTAGATGAAGACATTGTGGAGGGGGGAAAAATTCGAAGAATCCAGCGAAGACGAACAACAACCTCACATGCGATTGAAAGACCTAATGTGTGGTTGGAGGAAGTCAAAACAGACAGCGACGTAATGTTGATGATGCATGGGTCAGATGAAATTGTTTTAACAATTGTAATTTCGTAGACGGAATATCGTGTTTTATTTCTTGTACGCGCAATATTTATTGTAAGAAATACTGTTAACGAAAAACCCTAATGTTTACAACATAATTAAGGAAAGATTTTATGTATTACAATTTTTATGTGGTCGAGGCAGACGCCCGATTCGGACAATTTTTATGATTGTGTCCGACCTGACGGCATAAATCACACTTTCTTTCTAGCTTGTCAAGGTCATCCATTTCGGTTGTGATGCGCTTACTTTTGGGACGACCCTTCTTGTTCCTTCGCATTTGGTAATTGTGCCACACTATTTCGCCTTCGTATACAGGCCAATAATCTGGTTTTGCTACCAAAGGAAAGTTGTTGTTGTAAAGGTTGAGCAACATTTCAGATTTGTAAATGTGTGACAGAAGTTGTAGCACGTCTTGATGGGTATAAGCACAAGTGGCAATGACATGAGAGCAAGGCATACGAAAGGCTTGAAACTTGCCACAATCGCACCAACAGGAAGGTAGTATAACCCTATATTCTTGTCTTGGAAGGCCTTCGTTGTGGTCGATTGTCTCTTTCACAATGAAGTTGTGACTGTGTCGGTCAAACCGTATAACCATATGAGTGTTGGCTTTGGCACTTTCTGCCTTAATGTACTTCATGCAGCTTTCACTCCATAGTTGTCCAGATTGCAACACCGCATTCCACATTTCACCTCTTTTGGCAAACAACGAAGCCATCCTAAAATACGTAGATTTTACCAAAGCAGTGATCGGAGGTTTCGTATGCCTTTGAATACCTCATTCATCAATTCAATAAGATTTGTTGTCATGTGCCCCCATCTTTGACCATTGTCGTATGACCTAGTCCATTTTTCCACCGGAATATTATCGATTCACCTACTGGCTTCCGGATTTGACAAACGGATCTCGTTGCGGTAATATTTGAACGTGGGTTGTGTCAATGCATATTCCGCATTCATAACCGCTTTCCTTAGTCTTTTGTCCTTGATCTCTCTCGTGAAATTTTGGACGATATGCCTAACGCAATAGACATGCGTAGAAGGAGGGTCATGCCAACCGTTTGCAGGATTATTATAGGCACTTTCAATGGAGGTATGTTTTTCCGAGATCAAACAGAGATCTGGTTGAGGAGCCACATGTGTTCGCAGGTTTTTCAGAAAAAAGCTCCAAGCACCACCAGTCTCCCCCTCGACTAGGGCAAAGGCAATTGGGAAAATGTTGTTGTTGCCATCTTGTGCAACTGCCATCAGTAGCGTGCCTTTGTATTTCCCATACAACTAAGTCCCATCAATTTGTATAATTGGTTTGCATGATGAAAACCCTGTGATGCAAGGTTGAAATGCCCAAAACACTCGACTGAATATTCCGTTTCCGTTTAGTTGACTACCATCTTGGGCGTATGCTAGCACTGTTTCCAGAACGTAAACAGTACCTAGAGAATAAGTCTTGAGTGCATTCAGGTAGCGAGGAAGTTCTTGGTATGACTCCTCCCAGTTTCCGTACACCTTTTCAATCGCCTTGGTCTTTGCTAACCACGCCTTACGGTAAGACGGAGTATAGTTAAAAACCATGGTGATGTGGGAGATGATGGTTTTCACCTTCAAAGATGGGTCATTGCTGACGAGTGGTAGGATTTCTTGACAAATGAGATCGTAATTAAGTTTTCGATGGTCCTGTGATTGGGTAGAACTGACACAAGTGTAGGTAGACATGGAACCTATGACCCAGCAATCACCTCTTAATCTGTATGATGTAGTGAGCTTGAACATACAATCAAGGTGGACACACTTGATCTTGTACCTTTCTGGGTTGACACGATCCATCTTAAAATCGACCGAGTTGAGCATGTGGAATTTTTTTATGGCTCTGATGCATTCCTCTCTGTTACGAAACTTGTCCTTCTCTTTTAAGTTTTCATCCAAATGCATATACAGATTGAAAAATAAATCATAAGACGGTTCATCTCCGCCCATGTTGAAGTTTGTCATGTGCGGAGGTGGTGTGTAGATCTCGTTTGCAGGAATACCAGGTATCCCATCGTCTTCGGAATCATCATTCACCATTTCATCAAACTCTAACTCGTCATCTTCTTCTTCTTCATCAACTGCATCTACCTCTGCTTGTTCGGTCTCCAAAGGATCAACCACTTGTGTCACCTGAGGCTCTCGCAGCATAATGTACAACTCAATAGAGTCGTACCCATAATACACATGACTAGAAAACATATTCCGAAGATCCTCGTCATCTTGAACCTCAACCTTATAAAATATTATTTGGTTGTTACTAAAAAAAACTGGATTCTGATAAAATATTTGTGTCACCGGGCCTCGTCCAAGTTTGGCCTCCAATCGTTTTTTGAAGTATGAGAAATTGACTTTCCCGTTTAAAAGAAATCGGATGTTGTCTGTGTCTCTAAACAAAAACCCAGAGGTGGGACAAATGTATGTCTCACCGTTGAAATGTGCATTGATGACATATTGGGGTACATAGGCCATTGTGTATGGTTGTTTGAAGGTTTAAAGGTTTGAAGGTTGAAATGTTTGAAGTTTATGAGTTATTCGAAGGTTTGTATGTTTGATTGTTTGAAGGTTTGAAGGTTTGATTGTATGAAGGTTTGAAGGTTGGAAGGTTTGACAGATTAAGTGAATCAGTGTTTTGATAAATGTAAGACTAAATAGGTCATACTGAATTTGAATTAAGTAAGGCTGTAACCTCCAAGGCTGCCACCTAGCCTGCGCCTACTCTGCACCTACACTGTAACATGTAAGTCTCCTCCCATCACCTCCAATAGTGTTACATGCATTCAAGCATGGCTTCTACAAGGCTTTCACCTAGCCCGCGCCTACTCTGCAACCCGTGCCACCTATTATTCGCCAATGGGGATGGCGACACCTTTCATTTTTATACTCTTTCACCAAGTCCAATGGCGCCTCCCTTAAAGTCTAATCGTGTTACATGCATGCAGACATGCCTTCTTCAAGGTTGCCACCTAGCATGCTCCTACTCTGCACCTACACTGTAACATGTAAGTCTCCTCCCATCACCTCCAATAGTGTTACATACATGCAGGCATGACTTCTCCAAGGCTGTCACCTAGCATGCGCCTACTCTGCAACCCGTGCCACCTATTATTCGCCAATGGGGATGGCGACACCTTTCATTTTTGTACTCTTTCGCCAAGTCCAATAGCGCCTCCCTTAATGTCCAATCATGTTACATGCATGCAGACATGCCTTCTTCAAGGCTTCCACCTATCCTGCGCCTACTCTGCACCTACACTGTAACATGTAAGTCTCCTCCCATCACCTCCAATAGTGTTACATGCATGCAGGCATGGCTTCTCTAAGGCTGTCACCAAGCCTGCGCCTACTCTGCAACCCGTGCCACATATTATTCGCCAATGGGGATGGCGACACCTTTCATTTTTGTACTCTTTCGCCAAGTCCAATGGCGCCTCCCTTAATGTCCAATCGTGTTACATGAATGCAGACATGCCTTATTCAAGGCTGCCACCTAGCCTGCGCCTACTCTGCACCTACACTGTAACATGTAAGTCTCCTCTCATCACCTCCAATAGTGTTACATGCATGCAGGCATGGATTCTCCAAGGCTGTCACCTAGCCTGCGCCTACTCTGCAACTCGTGCCACCTATTATTCGCCAATGGGGATGGCGACACCTTTCATTTTTGTACTCTTTCGCCAAGTCCAATGGTGCCTCCCTTAATGTCCAATCGTGTTACATGCATGCAGACATGCCTTCTTCAAGGCTGCCACCTAGCCTGCGCCTACTCTGCACCTACACTGTAACATGTAAGTCTCCTCCCATCACCTCCAATAGTGTTACATGCATGCAGGAATGGCTTCTCCAAGGCTATCACCTAGCCTGCGCCTACTCTGCAACCCGTGCCACCTATTATTCGCCAATGGGGATGGCGACACCTTTCATTTTTGTACTCTTTCGCCAAGTTCAATGGTGCCTCCCTTAATGTCCAATCGTGTTACATGCATGCAGACATGCCTTCTTCAAGGCTTCCACCTAGCCTGCGCCTTCACTACAAGATTGACACTTATCATGCATGCATGCACCAACTACCACCTAACTGACTCTAT